CAAAGTCATTCAGATGGCTTCATGCCTAAGGTGGGACTAGAACTCACCGTCTCCTGGTGATTGGCCCAAAGTCACCCAACTGGCTTTCATGCCTAAGGTGGGACTTGAACCTGCGGTCTCCTGCTTTCCATCCTGGGGTCTTAACCACCAGACCAAACCACTTAGCCACCCTTTCCCTCTCTTCCTTTCTTAGATACCCGAACACGATCCATGGGAGTGCTAGTGAACTCTGCAAAGCCAAAGTCTATACTCCTGTAAAGGTGAAGAAGCCCATGGAAGATTCAGAACCCTTGTTCAGAAAGAACCTCCCACAAATGAAGCTGGAGCCTCACGGCCCCCCCGGGCCTCCCACTTTTGTGGGCCGCAGAGCTCACACAGCCAAGTACTACATTGTCAACGAGCACCAGCCCCGCAAAAAAATCCTCCGTGCCACAACTCGGCTGCCAAGGAACGTCCGGTTAGATGAGGCAAGTGACTTCGTGGAGTTGTATCCACGTCACATCAGAAGGTACGTGGTTCGAACGCCCCGCAGGGCCTACTCACCTCATTACACTGAGGAGGAGGAGGAAGAGTACGGAAGAGGGGTCGCTAAGCAGACTCACCGCCCACGGTCCCTGTCGGACCTCCGAGCCCCTCCTCGCTTCTACGTTGGGGAGTGGACCGACAACCAAGTTCTGCCGAGCAGGCCTCTGGCGAAAATGCACTACAAGTCTTGGGAAGATGGCTTTGGGTTGACTTACGGCAGGGGACCCCATCCTCACAGAAAGATACACCTGAAGAATATTGAATTTGACCAGCATTATTCAGAACACCCTGGCAAAGTCAAGCCCAAGCCAAAACCGGTTCCTTCTCCCACCGAGTCCGATTCCATTTCTCCTGAATCGAGCAGCGATCAGCCCACCAGTGGCAACGATCAGTACATCCAAGTCATTCCCAGCAAGGAGAAATATCTGAAACCAGGAGCGAAAGGAACCCCCCAAAAGACAACCTCCGGCATGGAGTTGAACCTGGCCGAAATGAATGACCTGATATGCTCCAGTGTCTAAAGTGGGGAGAAAAGTCTGCAACCTTTGAGAACTGTAAACTTGAGGTACCCTCAGAGCTCTGTCAGGCACCCCTAAATCCAAAATGCTTCTGCTTTGTGTAAGCATTGCTACATTTCCCTTGAGGGTGAATGTTGCGTTAGCTCCATTCTAGTAACGTTCTTCCTATTTGCTTATTCTTGGCTGAATTATCCTCGCTCTATCATTATGCCGCAATAAATGACCATTTAAAATCATCTTTAACAAGCATAGAGAAGAAGCAGATCCCACACTATGAATCTCGGTGTATTTAAGTAATGGATTCTGACATCAGCAGGCCAGCTCGCCAGTTAAACCTGCCAGTTCAGTTATTCTGCTCACTCCAGTTGTTAAATAAACAGTTTGCATATGGTTGAATAATCAAGTTTGATTGATTTATTGATTAGATTTTTATCCTGACTTTATTACTTTGTAAGTAACTCAAGGCAGTATGAACGAACCTAATATTCCTTCCTCCTCCTATTTTCTCCACAACAACCCTGTGAGGTGGGTTGGGCTGAAAGAAAGTGACTGGCTCAAAGTCACATTGGAACACCGTTATTCTGTCACCCCTGGTCCATTTTTTCTCTAGACCAGCTGGGGAATTCTGGGAGTTGAAGTCCTCCGGGCTTCAAGTTGCCAAGGTTGGAGACCCCTGCTCTAGACTAGCCAAATCCAAATCATCCTTCTTCATATGTCCAAATCCAAATCCTTCTTCATATGTTTTTGCCTGCAGGCTTTTAATCACCCTAGTGGCTCTTCTTTGCACTTTCCCCAAAAGCCTCTTCGCCTCTACCCTATCCCACCCTGCAAAGTTGTTGTGAAATCAAAATCTGAGGAAAACTCACGGACTCCGTCCTGCTCCATCCATCCATAGCCCCAGGAGGAGCCACCCAAAACACCAAGTTGACGGCCAAAACAGCCTCGGCTTCCACCAGCGCAACTGGTAGGCAGAGTGTTCTCGTCCTTGGGGGTCGGGCCATTCATCCCAACCCGAATCCTGCGTCCTCACGATCCTTTCCCGAGCGGCGCGCGTTGGGAGAAGCGGGAGGCGGCGCCGCGCTGATTCCTCCGAGCGAGGATGGCGCGGCGGCTCCAAAGGGAGGCTGGCCCCTTTTCTGGGCTGGCCTTAGCAGATTTTTCCCCGTCTCTTCTTCCTGATCCTCCTCCACCGTCGGGCCAGCCATTCCCAGTCCAGCCGGGAACGCGTCACCGTCTCTCGCCATGGAGTACCAGCAGGCTGCTCAATGGGCCGCCCAGCACTTGGAGAGCTACCGGAAAGATCCCAGCGGCTGGAGCGGCTGTAAGCGATCGGTAAGCCGGTGGGGAGTGGGGGGCGATCGCGACCACCGATTTTCCCCTTGAGGAGGTGAAGCAATGCGCTCCTTTCTCCTTGGGAAGAAGGGAGAGATCCGCCGCTGGCGATAACGCTCAGGACCGCAAGAGGAGATCCGTGGCGGAAAGCGCTCCAGCCCGCAAAGATCACACTTTATTAATTTATTATTAAAGATTATTCATTTTATGTGCCGCCCGCCTACCTCGCTCTCCAAAGCAATGCCATCTCCCTGGAAGCTGAAAACCAGCTTTTTCCTCTTCTGGTTTTGTAGATTTTCAATCGGCGGGGAGAACCTGTTTTCGCTTAGGGGAGAAGTTTAAAACAAAAAACTTCCGCTTACCTCCCCTGCGATCTGAAGGGATCCAGCGATCCCCTCTGGTTTCCGCAGCATCTCCTTTTCTGCTGGGAATATGTTTCCCCGTCAGATTTGAAAGGTGAAATCTAGCCAGCTGGAGTTCCATTCACTTTCAAGAGTCTAGAATCTAGATTCCGTTTAACAAAGAGCTCCCCCGTTTGGGGAGTTAGTTTGCCTGAAATGCATTATAATGTTATTTCTGATTAAAAGTCACCATTTCAATGCTACTTTTTCCTAGGAATAGTCACAATTGGACTTTGTGGAGTTGCAATACCCCTCCCCCTTTCTTGCTCTTTATAGTCTTCGAAAAACACCCACAGGCCATCAAAATGATTTATAGGAGTTATTATTTATTGTGGTTTTTTTTTTTTTTACTTGGTTTGTGCCTGAGTGCCCAAGTCAGTTTTTGACTCCTGGCAAATGCCTGGAATACTCCCTCCAATTTTCTTGGCAAGGTTTTTTCTGGCGGTAGCATGCCATTCCCTCCTTTCTAGGGCCGATAGGGACTGGCCCAACATCACCTAGCTGCTTTAGGGACTAAGACTGAATTAGAACTTGAGTTGTTCTTCTTTTCTTCTCCTTCTTCCTTCTTCCTCTTTCTCTGCTCCCCCTCCTCCTCTTGTTATTTTATTTTATTTTATTTATTTGATTTGCCAATTGTTTACAAGATAATAAGTATAAGTGTATACATAGTTGTGAATACTTGAAATGGGTACATATAAGAAAAATAAAAGAATAAGAGAAACAATAGGACAGGGACGGTAGGCACGTTGGTGCGCTTATGCACACCCCCTACAGGCCTCTTAGGAAAGGGGTGAGGTCAATAGTAGACAGTCTAAGGTTAAAGTTTTTGGGGTTTGGGGAAGAAACTACAGAGTCGGGTAGAGTATTCCAGACATTGACCACTCTATTGCTGAAGTCGTATTTCCTGCAATCAAGTTTGGTGCGGTTTACTTTGAGTTTGTATCTATTGTGTGCTCTTGTGTTGTTATGGTTGAAGCTGAAGTATTCATTGACAGGTAGGACATTGCAATGTATGATTTTGTATACCATGCTTAAGTCAGACCGAAGACGGCGTAATTCATTATTATGTAATTCATTATTATGATTATTTTAGATTTTTATCCTATCTTTACCGCTCTATAAGTAATTAGAGGTGTCAAATTCACTCCTTCCTCCTCCTATTTTCCACACAATAGCCCTGTGAGTTATCTTGGGCTAAGAGAGCATGACTGCCCCGAACTGTGCCACTATTTTGTATTACAGTCCACAAATAGTTCAAAAAGATACAGGTAGTTCTCTCTTGACAGCCTTCATTCAGTGACCATTTGACATTTACAACAGCGCTGAAAAAAGTTATTTTTTATGATTGATTTTCACACTTTAACAGCTATTGTAGCATCCCCATGGTCACATAATCAAAATTCAGACGCTTGGAAACTGGCATGTATTTATAACAGTTGCAACGTCCTGGGGGTCATGTGATATCCATCTTTTGCAACTTTCTGATGTTAATGGGGAAGCCAGATTCATTTCACAACGGTGTAACTAACTCAACAACTGCAGTGATTCACTTAACAATTGTGGCAAGAAAAGTCATAAAATGGGGCAAAACTCACTTAACGAATGTCTTGCTTAGCAATGGAAATGTTGGGATCAATTGTGGTCATAAGTTGAGGATTAGCTCCACAGAGCCTTTTGGTTGCAACAGAAACACTTGAACCAAATCCAGAATTACTCATGTTTAAAGAAGGTCTATTGAAAGCAGTGAGAAAAGTTAATTATGGCTAATGAAAAATCTAGCTGCTTTAAGCAAATATATATTTTTTACTTGACACGAGACAAGCCTTGTGGGTGTTTAAGTCTCTTAGCATTACTTCCTTAAATGTATTCTTAACGTAAGCAAAAACCATTGAAGTTGAATAAAATTCAGTTTCGGCATGCAACAATAGTGCAGCTGGTTGTATCTGATTTTTTAAAAATGTCTTTCTAGAATAACATCACAATATCTTGGAGGCCTTCCAATGTATTTCGTGGAAACCTGTAAGTAAAATCACAGAAGCAAAACAACATTTAGGTAAATTGATATTTGAGATGCCACTTCTGTCTTATTTATTGCTAATTTTAGTTCTGTGCTTTTAAAATGTGAATAACATAGTCAATAGCTGGTAGATGAAGCACAAAAAGGAGAAGTTCCAGTAATGGAAGAGAAGAAAAGAAACTTCTAAGCAAGCTTTCCATACATACCAATCATAGTTTTTTGTTATTTTATTTTTTTCTTTGGAGAAGAAAGTTCTAAACTTCATGACAAAGAAGAATATTGTGTAACGTAAGGTATGCTGCAAACTGATTTGCTGCCTCATACAGTTATAAATAGCTGATCTTATAAAGCATGACTTGTCCCAAAGATATAGAAATGCACCAGTCCCTAGAAAGCTTAATGATGATGAAATACAGAACTGTAATGTGTATTTATTTAAGTAACTGAACATTTTGCTTAGGTGAGGTGCTACTTTCTTCAGTGTTCTGTATAAAACAAACACATTTTTCTTGCAATTTAAAAAGCAGAGAAATGATTGGCACGCTAGTGTATTACATGCAGTGGTACGTTCACTCATTTTTATTTATTTGAGTTTTATCCCACTTTTGTTACTTTGTATGTAACTCTAGGCGGTGAACGTACCTACTATTCCTTCTTCTTTTATTTGATTTGATTTGTCAATTGCTTACAAGATAATAGGTATCAGTATAAATATGAGTAAGAATACAGGAAATAGGTACGAATAAACGGGGACAAAAGGACAGGAACGGTAGGCATGATTGTGCACTTATGCAGGCCCCTTACAGACCTCTTGGGAATGGGGTGAGGTCAACAGTGGATAGTTTGAAGTTAAATGAGTGGGGGTTAGAGGATGTAACCACAGAGTCAGGTATTGATCGCTCTGTTGCTTCTATTTTCCCCACAACAACCCTATGAAGTAAGTTGGGCTGAGAGAAAGTGGGTGGCCCAAAGTCAGCCAGTGGCTTTTGCACCCAAAGTGGCACTAGAACTCACAGTCTCCCGGTTTCTAGGCCAACACCTTAACTGGCTCCATGTATTAAGGATGCCCAAAATGCAATTTGACTTGAATAGCACCCTTCTACTTCATTCACTAAGACTTTCTCTCAATCTTAATCCTTCTCTCAAAAGATACAGAGCAGAAGGAATTTTAGCTGCAAAACCAAAGAATGTGTTGAAATGCATCGTGCCAGAGACTGGTGGACTTAGAGAAAAATGGGATGACAATGTGACCAAACTAGCAGTGGTTGAATCCATAAATAATGTAAGTATAACATGTCTTTATTTATAGCCAGAAACAGCTAGGAGAATAAGATGCTATTTGGGAACCAGAACTGGTTATTCTAGGGTAATTGGAAAGTGAAGAAATTCCTATTATGTTTTGGGATGTAGAGAATGGTGGAAGCATTGATGTCTGTTTGTATTGTGCTAAAACTGTGGTGGCTGACTGGCTATGTACTGACATTGAGTCTGCAAACACACTGGTTAGGTAAGTATAAGAAAGAAAGA